GTTGCGCTCCAGGACTTATCAAGGGGCATACCACACTCCCGCATCCACCTCACGGTCCACCCGAGCAAACAAGACAAGTTCTTCCCCCTTAGGGGCATGCAAGGTGGGGCGTTCTAATATCCCCCCCCCCCTCCTCCTCCCCGGCCCCTTCCTACCTCCTCCCTAGCTTTTCCTTCTTTAGTTCCTTGTACTACCAGTACTGCCACCACCATCACTAATACTAACAACCGATTCAAATAAAAATCATACTGCTTCGGTTTTTTTTTTTTTTTAACCATTTCTCGATTAGTGCGTGTCATCCTTGAATGCGCAGGCGCCATGCGTGCATGCTACTTGAATCTTCTCTTTTTCTCTGCATCGCTAGAATAACGGTTGTTCCGCCGAAAGACAATCATACTGTTTTTTCCTTCTATCTTAGCCTCTCATTGGGCGGCCTCATTGGGCTGCCACGTGGAGTGCTCGTGAGCAACGACCCCATGTTCATTTCTTCAGCATCTTCCTCCTCCTCCCCTCCTTCGCCCATGCAAGCACCATGTACTGCCACGTGGCGTGCTCCTCGTACTCCCACTTCCGGCCCTTCGTTCGCGTCAATTGCATTCTTCATAGCCCCCTTCCACCTCTTCTGCCTCCTGTCCGTCCACATTTCAGCGTCCATACGAGCACTATAAGATGCCACGCGGCGCATTCTTCACGCATCCGACCCCTTCTTCTTCTTCTTCTTCTTCTTCTTCTTCTTCTTCTCCTTCTCCTCCTCCTCCTTCCCCTCCTCCTCCTCCTCCTCCTTACCTTCTTCTGGTTCTCCTTTCCCTCCTCTGGTTCTCCTTTCCTTCTTCTCAAGAGGAGTGGAAGGAGGAAACGATTCAGGAGGAGGAAGGGAGGAGGAGGAGGAAACAAAGTCCAGAAATATATGAACTCATTGTGGAGTTATGCAAGAAAAGCAGACACAAAAGGAAGAGGAAAAAGGAAAGGAAGAGAGAAAGAAAAGAAAGAAATACAAAAGAAAGAAAGAGAAAAAAAGACCGTCGACGTGCAAAAGAAGAGAAGAGAACGAAGGAGAATAAGAAGAACAAGAAGACGAGGGATGTCGTGAGCCTGCCACGTGTCACAATGGTTCTCACAACGCGGGAGAAGAAGACAGGTTGCACATTCAGGTGCATTCTGGAAAGGCCGTGCATGATACCGGGCTTCGCTCCGGATTTGAAAAATAAAATAAAAAATGGCGAGGGCATCCGTCCAACTTCTACGTGAAATATACACGCACAATTTTAATTTACACATTTCATGGGTAGGACGTTTTTGACGGAGCCCTGAACGTGATGGCAATCGGGTGCATCAAGGTGGCCGGAGAAAAAAAAATTCCAGTCAGACACATTTAGTATCAAGTACTCGTGTGAGTATGCCCTCACAAACCTCACAACTCAATCTTACAAGGTCCAGCGATGGCTTCCCGTCTCTCTGTCTTCTTTGTTTGCCGCGTCTCGCTGTCAGACACACACACTCACACTCATGTGCCTTCTCCCGGTGCAGTGCGCAGTAATCAGCATACGCAACTGCATTTGTGAGTGAAAACAACGGCAGCACAGGATTGGTGTCAACAGCGAGTGCGAACCTTGATTTGGTGTCAGCCTTAGCAGACCCAGCCGTGCTTTCCGAGAGTGGTAGGTCAGGCCCCACCCTATGGGCTTCGTTCCACACCACTTACGAATCCTTACATTGTAAGGGGCCCCTAACTCGGCCAGGGTGATTAATTTACCCTAGCCTTTCTTTTTTCGTTCCACAGCCCGTAAGGAAGACCCTACACTTACCCACCCTTACATCTCAGGTGACGAGGGCTGCGTGTCAGAACCTCGGCCTGTCGGGCACGGACTTCCGTGAACGCGTTGCGGCAGACAAGAACTTGTCCAAGTCCTGCGGCCGTGTAGCCTTCCGGGCGCGCGAAGGCGGCATCCGGCGATATGAAAGGGCCGCGCAGCGGTGGAATTTTGAATTCAAATTCCGGCAGACGTGCGTTGACAACGTCCTTCCCCGTCTTTTCGATGCTTCCTTCACGCGCCCCCGGCGATATGAAAGGGCCGTGCAGCGGCGGAATTTTGAATTTGAATTCCAGCGGGCGGGTGTAGACAACGTCCTTCCCCGTCTTTTCAGTGCTTCCTGTGGCATTGGGAAAAAGGTCGCCATAGCCCGCCCGCCGCCGGCTGAGCAGTGCGCATCTTGGCCGTTCATTTTCAGGCCATGGAAGACGACATAGGGGATGCGCCATAGGCGTGGAGCTTGACGCTAGGGGAGAGGTCGTTGTTGGGAACGGCATTGCTCGCAGTTTGTCGTCACATGCAGATGGTGAACAACATGCACAGGCCAGCGGAAGACAAATGGGCAGACTGGAGGCCTCCATAGCCCAGGCCTTGATGGACGTGCAATTGTCGCCAGGTGTATGGGATGCACCGTTCCTATTGTCAAACACCATCATTACGGGTGTCATGTTGTGGGAGACGCCAAGGTGGTGGGTGGAAAGGACAGGCGGAACTTGGAGGGACCTCACCATCTCCGACGATGCTAGCGATGACTACTACCATGACAAACTGCGGATGATGAGGGCAGTGTTCAACGACATAGTGGCGGCGTGCGGTCCTTTCATTCAGCAGAGCCCGACTCACTATCGGGAGCCATTGCAGCCCGACCAAATTGTGCTTTCCATTGTCATGCCATGCTTTTTGCAGATCACACCTGAGGCAGCCTCGTCCGTAGATGACGGCGGGGGCGCAGGGAGAAGTAGAGTCCCCGCCCAGATGAGCGGTGCGCGCGGTGTGATGACGGTGAAGCGTGGCCATCCAGAATCCCAAGTGTGTGCAGCATCGCAGGCCAGCAGAACGCGCGGCCCCCTCGTCCCTTTTTTTGTGTTTTCCCACTTTTATTCTTATTTTTATTATTTTTCTCACTTTTATTTTTACCGCTGCCTATGACTTGCTGATTGGTTCCAAGACCCGCAGTGAGACCAACAGGTTTGGCTTAGTAGGTACACCTGCGAACCATTAGTGAACTGCAGATCTAGGGGCGGAATCCATTCACAACAGATAAGTAAAATACTACAATCCATAGTTTATCTGGGACCGATGATGTCGAGGGTGGTATCAAGGCCGAGGCATGGGCCTTATCCTCCCGGACATCCTTTAAAATTGGAAGGATACAGAGAATTTAGCATGCCCTCTGCGTCTGGTCCCGCGGGACCGACGACTTCGTGGGTATACCGCCCGCCACCCACAATCTGCAGTAAGAGGTTTGGGTGTGAGCATGGTCGTTGGGGGCCGAAAGGTGGTGGGCTATGCCTAAGCAGAGCGAGCACAGGTGGCAATGTGGCAGAGGCCCACAACGATACTGACGTGCAAATTGTTGTTCGGACTTGGGTACAAGGGCGGATGTCTAGTGGCAAGTTCCCTCCCAAGTTCCCTCAGTATAGCTGAAGCGATTGAGTCAGAAGCTTACCGGACTGTGCTGAAAAGGGGAAGAGTGTCAGCGGGGAGGAAAACGAGGAAGACGAAAACAAAGACGATGAAGAAGACGAGGAGGAGGTAAGACGAGAGTGAAAAAGCCACATCCCGCTCATTCCTTCATGAAATTGAGTGGGGGGAAGTGCTACATGAGGGGTTTCGAGCGTTGCGCATCCGTTGGGCGCGTTATATTTTTGAATCGGGCATTAGTTTGATCGCTATTGACAATGTGGGCTCCACGCGAACCGGATTTCCATAGGCTGAAAAGACATCGAGGTACCTACTTCTTAGCAGAGTCGACGGGGAGAAGGCGGGTATGCAGTCACGTTGTGGAGAAGCCGAAGCTGTCATCGGGTACTGATAAGCAGTGACGAGGGGAGGATGTAAGAAGCAAGTGAGAGGTGGAGTAAGGTGAAAGTGAGAGAGAATACAAAGGGGGACACGTGCTTACCTGGTTGAGGCGGCTACGCAAATTTGAAAGTCGAGGTACTATTCAGGTAGGGCAATGCACCTACCCGCAATTCGAGGGGAGTTTCTTGTAAAGTTGCACATTTGGAAGAGCAGCGGAGGGAGGTCATTCATTGATGCTCTTTATCGGCCTCAATAGTGGTAGCCCCGCGCAGTCAACATTGTGCTCATGGTTGTGAGGTGCCTGAACGTGATGGTAGTAGGGCATTGCATCTTCTAGTGATTCAACGGACTATTCAACTTTCCTTAGCGAGTATACCTTCCCAAGTTGTAGCGGAAGATTCATTCCCATCACGTTGATGTATCTTTCTATCTTCTAGCAAAAGATTCATTTATAATTTCCACACATGGCAAAGGGCAAGAGGGGTTCGGGACCAACGTCATATTCGTCGAGTTCAATCATGGTCATCTTCCTTATAACCAAATACGGTTGCTCGATAATGATATTCGCAGAGCTCCGAGTCGTATCCGTTGGTTGTTTGTCGTGATGTGGTTGTTCGCCCTCTCTGTGAGTGAATGGTAAGGGAGCCCGTGCAGATGAACCTGGTTCCTGGTGCAATCAGGCACATCGTGAGTAGTTTCAGGCTGCATGAATCTAGAGGGAGGGAGCGACATGGTTCACTCGCATGAATAAAGTAGAGGGAGCACAGCAAGAAAGGTAGGACAGTGGAAGGAAGAGTTGTAAGGAAGAGCGAGATCGAGGGAGAAAATGGAGTCAAGCGGAGTTGTCTCTATGGTTGATTTAGCCACCTCGTTGGTCACCCAACCTGACTCTCTAGCCCGTCGTGTGGATCGCAATCGGTGCTACTTAGTCCCACCCTGTGACCCTGGTCATATCCCTCATCGCGGTGGTCCGAGTTCGTGGTGGTTCGCTCGAAGCGAGTATGTGCCGAGGTACTCGTCTTCCTAGGCCTCGTTCGTGATCCGCACCTCGTACTCATAATATGCGCCCCGCCCGTTACCTGCGCTCCGTTCATGATCGCGCTTCCTGTTACTCGCTTCCATGTCAACGAACTGGTGCCTCATTCCGATCTCTAAACGAATTTGGTTGCACTAATGGCCAAATACGTCTAGGCAGGGATACGAGTGCTGGTTTAGAGAAACTGTTGGTGCTACCATTCGGTCCGTAAAACTTGATTGTTGCTCTGCATGATTCAAAAAGGTTGCTATAATGGAGTAGGTCGATGTGCCTTTCTACAGGGGGGGCAATGTTCTTATGTTACAGCGTGTTGTAGACAGTGTGTCACAAGGTTGAACGACGGTTGTTGTTTCCACGTTGCTGCCAACATCAACGGGTGTCTCGTCGTTTTAGTTTATAGCAAGCTCGCTGCGATTTCCATCGCCCAAATGCTGTGTTTGTACCGTGGTTATGGGTGTTGTTCATTACTGCGCTTGTGACTTGTTGAGGGAGTTGTTGGTATGGTGTTGTCATTGCCTTCAACTATATGCGGTTCTGCTGACATGGGATGTTGTTGTTTTACTTGCGAATTTTTGGTGAATCTTTGTCTGCCTTTGCTATATCGATGTTGTCAGTGCTACGGTGCTTGCTTCTGTGTTCCACGCTGCTTTGTTGTTGCACATGTTTGCTTTGCATGCATTACTTTTGTTGAGTTTTGTTGTGTTTCGCTTACGTTCCGAACAGAGCAGAGGATGTGTGCTTTGATTGAACGCAACCCTTTTTAGGTTGTGTGGCTACGACTTAGTCGGAGAATGATATACGACGGTTTAAGGGATAAGTCGAACTTCTGCAAGAGGGTCATCACTGCCAAGTGAAGAGTCATCAAGGTACTATTGCATGATTTTCGATTGCAATTTGACTTTGGTTGGTCGACTTGCTACGCATTTTTAACCACCATTGAGGGGACCTCAGGCGTGTCAAGGTTTCAACGCCCTCTCACGTGAGTCTAAGAACGCCTTTCTTGGATTTGAGTGACTTAACGTTTCTCTTTCTCTCCACTTTTTACTCCCAGTCTAGTCTATTTGGTTCAAAGAGGAAGGCAACAGGTGAGATTACAACCCATAATCCGTGCTAAGACCTCTGTGGGAGGTTTGCCCCACCGATTGCAAGAGCTCTACCTGAATCTAGGTGAGATTCTGGAGGCAAGGAACTGCCAAGTATACCTTTTTCTGCCCTGTGTGAACCCACTATACCTTACCATTACATCTCTCTAGTTTGTCTGAGAGATATGCATGTGTTCCGTTATGATTTTGTTTTCATTTTATAACCTAATCAAATTAACTAAAAGGAATGCATGCGAGAAGTTCGGTTTCAATTTATTTTGACTAAAATCAGACCAAGGGATGAACTAGGAAGGTGGGAGGAATCCAGTTTTACATGCATTTGACCGGGTCAACCAGAGGTTATACATTATTTCTAAGTTGAATGACCCTGTGTTATGTGTTTTGCTTGTTTTCTGAAAGACCACTCATTGACTCTAAGTTGAATGTCGTTGTTGTTGTGTTTATTTTTAAGGGTTTGTCTGTATGATTTTTTTCTAAGTTGAATGGTTTGATCTATCTGTTTTTTTTGTTTTTTTTTTACGGAACTTGGGTTGAATGGTCAAACTTCATGCTTTTGTGTGGCTTATGATAGACTAAATATCGTTTTCAAGCCGAATGGTTCAGTCTTTTT